GGCGACTATGCTTGTAAGAGGCGACTAACGGGATCGGGTGGTAAGGCTCGCTGACATTGGTTGACACATGTCATCGGTTTCCAATTGCGCAGATCGATGCTCATGCTGTTGATTACTGGATTGTCTGGTCCAGACTCGATTATTTACAGACCGCTGCCATATAGCTGGAATATTGCTGAGTGCGGCGTAAAACTAAATTCACTCACTCACTCACTCCTATTTAGCGCCAGAACTGGTTCTTGAATATACGCTTGTCACCGGAAATCTGGTACCGGAAATACGCTGGACCCCGTCTCGCAAATCGCAAGTTGGCGCGCGCAAAGGGAGCCGGGAACCAGCTTAGTATGGGAAGAAGCGCCTCGCGAGACTTAAAGCCCCTATAAGAAAAACATTAACGAAACTTACAAATCGCTACAAAGGAGTGATTGAATGAGTGAGTTTAGTTTTAGGCCACTTTTAGCAATATTCCAGCAATATCACGGCGGGCGACACCAGAAATGGGCTTCACACATCGTACCCATGAAGGGATCGAACCCGGGTCTTCAGCGTGACGAGCGAACGCTCCACAGGGCTACCACACAGGAGTGGCATTACCAAACAGAGATACTCTACAAATACATTGGAAACATAACATTGAAGCAGTGATTATATAATTTGTAAGACAGTAGGTATGATTTTCACATTATAGGTCATGTGCATGCAAAGCTGTTTTAAGCTCTAGTGAAATTTGACCTTTACATTTAAACATTTTGTAATTTCACAACTGGTCGAAATAAAGGGCTGAAGGTGTTATACCTTGTCCATATCCAGTACACGTAAACAACAAACAACCAAACATGTACATACAGGCCAGATATCTCACAGTGAACGAAGAACGAAGATTAATGAACGTCGACAGATGGGACATACATTCGTGACCCACTCGTGTTATTTCGGGACACGCCGAATACCGAGTTTACGGAAAGGGGCGAGTGGGGACGAATGATGGGACATACTGCTATCTCACGATTTGAAAAACGTAGACGGTTGCATAACTCATATTCCTCACAATTTTAAAAGATAAAAGAAGGCCCTTACATGCAGCCATTTTCTATATTTTATACGTCAAATTTTGAATTTATTACATACAGTTCATCCGACCACGGATCATAAAATGCACATATATGAATGTTAAAAGTTGTCTGCATATAATGGTAGTTGTGCTTTACCTGTATCCAGAGAATTAATTGGTTGAGTGAATGTTATTTATAGCCGCAGTTTTATCGGCATTATATAAGTCAAAATTTGAATTCATAACAAATAATTCATCCGCCCACGGATCGTAAAAAATCTAATATCAAATATACATATATGAATATATTAAAAGTTGTCTGCATATAATGGTTGTTGTGTTTTCTCTATCCAGAGAATTAACTGGTTGAGTGAATATTGTTTACCGCCGTAGTCAGCAATATTCCAGTTTCAAGTTCATCATTCAGGGTAAGGTGTGTCAAGTGTTCCCAATAGCTAGTCGCAAGAGGTAACACAGTCTGGAATCTTAGTGGGATATATGGGTTAGCAATTGCTGAAAACAAATTATGCTTGTGCACAGAAATTTATCTCTATCACGGCTGGGCTTCGAACCACAAGCCACAATTGTACTGTGAAACTTTTCAAGTCGGGGGTCGTCCAAAAGTTTTACATTATTTTTAAAAATCCTTAATCCTCGCAAAGACACGAGGGCCTGTTCCGGTTCCTCGCGGACTCAGGTGCTGCCACAGACGCCGAGCCTGACAACCACCTATTTGGTTGGATGGTTTGTTTTAGACCAGATCTATATATAGATATATATTTTATATATATATATCCCTTTCTCCTTGGCTCTTAAATTCCTCTTGTTTAAAACTTCCTGCCACCGTTTACCTGTAGAAGTAAAATACCTTTATAACGAACTCCAAGGGACCATAAGTTCGTTATATCCGTAGTTCGCTATTCACTTTTTTCATATGATAATATAAGGTTTATTTGGGACTTTTAAAACAGTTCGCTATAGCCGTCAGTTCGTTATATCCGTGTTCGTTATAAAAGTATTGTAGGTAGGTGGCACAAAATTCCACCTGAAGAAAGAACGTGTAACCTCTGCGACACGTGTGATGTTTCATGAAAACCATCCCGACATCCTATGTATCTTAACTGCATATTTGCACCTCTTATGAGCGTGTTAAAAGTTCTGTTCTGTAATGGATCTTTTTTCTATGACAATTCTTGCCAAACCTGATTTTAAGGCTGTATTAACCGCAAATCTGTATTTCACAACTTACTGCAGCTTATATCATTAAAACGGCCGACCGCCAATTACGTCACGGTGATACCTTCGTTAAGTCGTCTGTTTTATTCAGAGGTGGCACGCACGCACGCGCACGCACACACACTCCTCTGGGTCCGCCTATGATACTATGTGTATATACTTCTCATCATTTGGTTTGTACCTGTTCACAAGCAGCACCTCTGTCAAAACATGTGGCAGACTTAAAATCTACCAGGGTGGTCGGGAGATAAGGGGAGGTAAGCGGGTAGGAAACTTTTCTATTCCGGGCAAATTGCTCTTCTTTTCCGCATTGCCACCCTTCCTCGTCTTCCAGCAGGTAAATCATATTTCATTGTCTGTTCATATTAGTCATTCAAATACATTATTATCTGGGCAAGCAAAACCGTTTCGGGTGCAGCTTCTTGCTTCAGCATATAGCCCGTTATGTCTGTATTACAGTGCATATATTTCTTCATACATTTTTATATTTTTCACAAATTATTCATAACAAAGAAAATTCGTATATGTGCAAGTCGCAGTGCATAGTGTGTCTTGTTTATAGCCCCGCATGTCAAGCGCAGTAGTAGGCAATTAGCAAACGCATCCACGCCAACCTTAAACTAATTAATCAAAGATGAAGCTAGCGAGCTGTGTCGGCTCCGGCCTTTCTTCTCGGGTACATCCCTTGGTCCAGCACAGATAAGTAGTCCCATCACAGCAGGAGCATGTCTACCACCAACTAAGTCGTAATCGAAAATCAACTTTTGTTGAACAAGATCGAGATTACCATCGTGCCATCCTCTTTGTCCTGTCGTAAATGCCATGGTCAAGCGCTGACAGATATTTTGTTAAGCAGCTGGCGCAAGCTGACCGTGGCTACACCATAAAGAAATCAAACCTTGTTAGGTAATCATCTTCTTACCACCTACCTCGTGTAGTAAACCTTGTCAGCATAGGGTAGATAACGCATATGGAAACTTCAACTTTATAGAAACTTGATAATGACAAACGAGTAGAGCTGTGGGGTATAAAATCCTGGGTTCTTCCATCTCAGGGACACTTACTTGAATAAACCCTTTAGCACACATAGCGCTAAAGGTCGTCCTAACGGACACAAAAAGAAAAGCTGTCTTATCTGTATGACTTTTAAAGGTCAAACAATGTTATCTCAACACGACCCATACACGTCCGTCAGTAATGCCTCTCATGGATTTCCCTGGTGTGTTCCAGAGCTAGTTTGTCTTCTGTTTATCCCGAATGTGTTCATGGAGGAGACGAAACGACTTTTGTTATAAAGAGCCGCTTGACCCTTATTGTCGTGTAAACATACTGACAAGAGCGGTTGTAAAATCACAGGTTTCAGGTAAGGGAGGATTCAGTGTTATCATTTTTCATTCGACACCAGTCGCCCCTTTCTGTAACCTCGCTATTCGGCTTGTCCCGGATTAACACGAGTTGGTCACGAATGGGTCATGAATGATCATTACTTGTCCTCGTCACCATTCGCCCCTTTCCGCGTTCTTCGGCTTTTCCCTGAATAACAGGAGTGAGTCACGAATGAGGAAAAAGATCTCAGGTCGAATAAGGTCATCATGACTTAGCCCGCTAATTAGATGTCCTCCCATCTATCTTTTGCAGTAACGAAAACTAGGATGTAATTTTAATGAGAGTGTTAGCTACCAAGAAGTGATGTTAACATGTAACACACATGAAATATGTAAAATCTGTTATTGCCACACACGTTCAAGCCGGCAGATTATCCTGTCGTTTCTGAGCGCCACTCAAACGAGTGTATTGAGAGTATATATGTATTTGTGTTTCTGTATCATCACCTGATGAAGGGGCAAGAAGTAGCCCGGAAACGTCGTGTTGTAAATAAAAAAGAATAAGAAGTTGTAAATCCATACCATACGATGTTGTATAACCTTATTTTAGATTTGGCGGTCAAAATTCTTTCTGGGTATTCCCGAGTGCTGAGTATAATTTAAGGGCTATAACTCCAGATGCTGTTCATGCTGCATTCACTATTATCATATCAACACTAATTGATTCCGATATATCTCCCAATTGTTTCAATCGTAAATTAAAAATGAATTTCTCATACTTTTTTAAAAGAGTTTATCTTGACATTTGTTACATGTTATGGTCTGTCGTAATTCAGCCATACAGCTGATGAAAAAGGAGTATTATATGATCTTATCGGTCAATAGTACTAGGGTCGGCTAAAATGATCAATAATCTGAAATATCCTCAATAGGAAAAACTATTATTAGGATTATCGATATGAAAATTGTGTTATCGACGCTATTTTGTTAGTAATCCATGCAAAAACATGTCACAAGTCACCAGTGAGACTATTTATTCTTTCGACATTTCTTGCAGTTTTGCTCAAAGTTACGCCAATTTATGGACAATTGATCGATATTTTGTAAAAGATTATCGATCTCCAAGATCTATGTCGATAGCACGCCCTAAATAGTGCAATGGAGTAGTGAAAGGAAAATAATCAGATTCATTTTTTTCTGTGAATAAACATAATTATTTTTAAAACGATGTAGATATCTAAATGAGTTGAAATGTATCATTTGTTTATGAAGCGAATTCCCCGAATAGTGTATTAAGATCAACTCACTCTTTCTCTGATGTAATGCTGACAAAGAATTTACTAAAAACATTTGTTTCACAGATTTGCAACAAGAAGTAGGAAGACATCAGATGGAGATTCTACAATGCACAGGTAGTAGACGCGACGATAGTCTGATACACAACACACTTACAGGGAGGGTTATATGACGCCATACTTACAGAGAGTATTATATGACGTCATACGTACAGATAGTGTTACGTCACACATACAATGAGTATTATTTGACATCATACTTACACAGAGCCAGATTTGACGGCATACTAGCTTACAGATACTATTATACAACGCCATACACACAAGGAGTATTATTTAACGTCATACTTACAGAGAGCATTATTCCACACCGATAGTATATATAACGCCATACATACAAGGAGTATTATAAGAGTCATACTTACAGAGAGCATTATTCCACACCGATAGTATATATAACGCAATACATACAAGGAGTATTATTAGAGTCATACTTACAGAGAACATACTGTGATATCACACATACAGATAATATTACGTGATGTCATTCTTACTGTGAGTATAACGTTATGTCATCAACATGGCTGTAATTGATTTATTATCATCACTTTGTTATTAATGGTAGAGAATAAATGGAGTTGTCTAATCTGTGAAAATATGTGAAAGAACACAAATCGATATTTCACTTGAGTGGAATAACATTTCGGTACCAATGCGATATAATTTTTTTTACCATGATGACACAATACTGTACGAGAGACATATCAATGCACCTTCTACCTGCAAATGTTAATGAGATTCTCCTGGATTCTGGAAGAGCGATACTTAGTAAGATCGAAGTGATGACCCTTTGACATGGACTTTGACATTTGACATGCCACTGAAAATACCCGATCTACACTCACTGTATATATTGAAAGCCATTATTAATTCCTTTTCATAAGAAAGGTGACACTTCTGTCCCCAACAACTACAGAGCAATAAGCCTCCTGAGTATCCTAAGCAAAGTCTTCACGTACATCCTGAATCAGCGATTAGTGTGCTTGGCTGATGTGTTGAGTAAAATTTCTGAGTGTCAATCAGGTTTTCGAAAAGGTTATTCAGTGGTTTTGTTCTGAATTCTATTATCGAGCGTTATCTTTCCCGCAAAGGTGGTAAAATCTATGTAGCTTTTGTTGATTTCTCGAAAGCTTTCGATTCTGTTCAAAGACATTTTCTTTGGAAGTTATTATATAAACACGGTCTGAGTCGTAAAATGGATAAAATGTTAGTGTCTATTTATAATAGTGTAAAATCTTGTGTTCGCACAAATAGTAGTTTATCTCGTGTATTTGATTGCCCAATGGGAGTCAGACAAGGGTGTATTCTCAGCCCCTTTTTGTTTCAGTTTTATATAAATGAATTAGGTAATGTAATTGAAAGTGAATGTTGGTTTGGTGTCCAGCTGCATCCAGATGTTACTCATATTTTTCTTCTTTTATTTGCGGATGACCTTATTTTGTTTGGGAACAGCGTGAGAAGTTTAAACTAAATATTCTTAATAGGTACTGTTCAGAATGGAAATTGTCAGTCAACATGCATAAAACTAAAATTGTAGTTTTTAAGAAAGGGGGTGGTTTATCTCGGTTTGAAAAATGGTTTTTATAATGGTAGTGTTGTTGAAGTTGTTTCAGGATATTGTTATCTCGGATTGTATTTTAATAATAGGTTACAGTGGTCGAAAGCGTTTGACAATATTTCTATTCAATCCAGAAAAATGCTGTCATTACTTCTTAGTAGTATACATTGTTTGAAACCACACTCGCCTCATCTGTACTTCAAATTATTCGATACAAAGATAACACCAATTCTCCTCTATGGGGCTGAAATTTGGGGGCTTAATTATATGGAAGAACTGGAAAAAGTTCATTTATATGCCTGCAAACGTTTTCTAAACGTTAAGTTATCAACGTCCAATAATGGAGTATTAGCCGAGTGTGGTAGATATCCTGTCCAACTATCTGCTGTTTTAAAATGTATCAAATATTGGTTAAATCTTATTAACATGCCTGGATGCCGTTTGCCTCGAAAATGTTACAATATGATGCGTATGTATGATGAGTAAGGCTATGAGAACTGGGTTACCAAGGTTAGAAATATCATATTTAAATTAGGTTTTGGTGATGTTTGGGTATCACACACTTACGGAGATAAAAACGTTTTGGTTAAAATGTTTTTTCAACGACTGAAAGATAATTTTCGGCAAGTTTGTCATAGTGATTTAACTGAGAGCCCCAAAATGTTTACGTATTGTAATTTTAAATTAACGATTTCTTGTGAAACATACTTAACTCATATTACTGTATCCAAATATAGATCTTGTTTATCGCGATTTAGGTTAAGTTCCCATAGTTTAGAAATTGAAAGAGGCCGTTACTATAACATTCCCCGGGAACAAAGAACATGCAAAATTTGTAACTTAAACGCAATTGAAAATGAATATCACTTCTTACTTATCTGTCCAGCCTACATTGAATTAAGACGTAAATATCTTTTGTCGCAATTCTATGTTTTCCCCAATATACTAAAATTCAATTCGTTGTTATCATCCAAAAATGAAGACATTTCCTTGAATACTGCTAAATATCTGTTTTATGCATTCGAAAAAAGGAAATCAATTTTGTCATATTAAGATTGTATATATTATACATGCTTTCATTGTTATCATTTTATTTCATGTCTGCACCGATGAGGTGTTTTTGTACTCATAGGCCCGTGGCCTCATAGTATCAGAAATAAAGATTTGATTTGAAAGCCATTTAAAATGCAATTTGACATTCATACTTTTTTTACTCACACTAATTTCAACATATATAAACCTAACTGGCAGATATGTTTTAAGTGAACATCTGTGAATAATTTTGTCTGAAAATGTCCAGTCAACAACAACATCAGTGACGCAACAAGGACATCACACAAAGGAGGGGTCACTTGCAGTCAATATCGTGTATGTCCACCGTGCGCTGCAAGACATGCTCGCAGTCTTTGGGGCACTGAAAGACACACATTTCTCAGGAACAGCTGTTGGATGGTCTGCAGCCTCTGATGGTGTGTGGTCTGATCATGACACCACCCCCCCCCTCCAAAATGATCATGTTCAAGGACACAGTTTGGCGCAAGTCTTTCTCCTTTACGTCGATAAATCTGTTGACGTCCATCTGCAAAGGAAAAGTTAAACCTGGATTCATCTGAAAAAATGACATCTGGCTATGTCCTGTTGCCAAGATTGGCCCCATTTGCTGCCCATCGCTGTCTGGCAAGTCTGTGGCGATGCAATAAGGTGGGACCACGGTACGGGTGACGACACCGGATGTTGAAGGCAGCAAGGCGTCCTTGCACCTTTTGGGCGCTGAAATGACATTGACTTGTCTCAATTGTCCTCCTTGCCTAATCATCAGCTGTTTGGAACCGATTTCGCAAGTGTGAAACTCGGATATTGGGGTTTTGTCGAGCTGTTATCACAGGTGGTGCACCAGGTCGCGAACGATAAGCAACACTTCCGGTAGGTCCGAAAACTTTGTCTGAGTCGACTTACAGTGGATTGATGCACATTAAAGTGCCTGGCAATCATCACATCTGAAGCACCTTGGCTGACCATACCGATAACCTGATTCCTCTCGTCTTGTGTCAAGTGTGGCATTTTCTCAAAGTGATTGAGTTCCACAATCCCTTGTGCTTTTACAGGGCCTGGGTGCAGGTAATGCATGTGCACAACGTGTTTCATGAATGTGGTTGTGTTTACGAGAAATGTCAAAGGTTCAGTTTTAAGTATCCAAGTTCATGTGAGAGGAATGCTCCGGGACTCGAACTCGAAATGGGCCAGAATAACAGTCTTTTATCCCTACATCCTCTGTATCGCAGGAAAAAATCTTCAATAGAACTTTTGTAAGTTTCAGGACAACAAATACCAATTGCGTTTTTAATGGCTTTCAGTATATATATATGACAGATGGGGTTTGCAAAACTAATGAGTCAGTCCTACCCAACAAGCCACGGGCTTAGCTTAAATCGAAAAATCCCATCGCTCATATACAAACTGTCCAATTGAAAAAAGTCTCAGATGCTGCATTGTATTTCACGTGGCTAAGGTTTCTATTCTGTTTCATTTCAGATCGACGTTTCCAAAATATATGTGGTATGTACTGTGTTACTCAAAATATTCAGATCCCAAACTGGCATTCACAAGATATGATCGACCGTCTCCGTGGTGTAGTGGTTAGAGCGTCCGCTCGGAGAATGGAAGGTCGCGGGTTCGATCCCCTGCGTCAGACCAAAAGACGTTAAATTAGGGAATTTGTTGGTTCCTGCCTGGTACTCGGCTGATCGGCTCGGAGTCAGTATAAGTGTCTGAGTGGGGTATTCATGCTAAACTGCGGCATGGTAACTCAGTGAGCTAGCACCATTAAACCAGCTTAAGTCTGGGCTAGTACAAGCAGCCACACATACACACACATGCACGTCGTCATATAAGTGAAATAACCTTAAATAAGTACGACGTTAAACCCCATTTCACCTCACCTCACAAGATATGATCAAGTGATGTCATGCCTGAAAAAATGACATCAGCATATAAACGTTTCTACGCACACTCAAGGAAAGTTCGTTTGCAAACCTTTGAACATTCAATTGAATTGTGTTTGAAAATGTGTTCTTAACTCCAAACACCAAATTAACCGTCATTTCTTTCATGAATGGCCCCACATGGGTACAACGAGTGAAGCCCATTTCTGGTGTCCCCCGCCGTGATATTGCTGGAATATTGCTAAAAGCAGCGTAAAACCAAACTCACTCAGTCAGTCAGTCTTTCAAGAATGGTAAAAACGAATCTACTTCTTTTTCAGATTCAACGAATGAACTTATGAGTTATGATGACACAGCATTCGTGTCCACCTATTACGAGAGGTCATCTTTAAGACTGTTGACAGACCACGGAAGAATATTCATCAAAGGGAGATCTGGTTCTGGCAAGTCAAGGCTTGGTCTTAGACTTCTGTCGAAACTATCTGAAGACAACAGCAGAGTACCTGTTTTACTGACATCAGCTGAGGAATGGAAACTGATACCCAAAAGAACTGGCCGTGATCGACGCAGGTACATTGTGATGTTAGATAACATATTTGGGTCCAGTTACTTAGTCCCTTCAAGAGTAGGTGAATGGGAAAAAACATTTAATATTATGTGGCCATCAATTGAATCACACCATATCCTTCTTGTCATCACATCGAGACCAGAAATAAGTGTCAAGTGTGAAGCTGAACTGAAGAAATATAATTTGATGAAGGACATACCGTTTGTCACGTTGGATGAGGGAGAATATGCACTTCAGCACAGTGAGAAAGGGAAAATGCTGCAGACTATCTGTCCAATCAAGAGTGGCTTCACAACGGAGGATATAGAAGTTATTACTGCATCAAGAGCAGCCCTGGGTTTTCCTCAGTGTTGCAAGTTCTTTGCAAACAGCAAACAAGCACAGGGTAAGGAGTGAGTTTCTTCCTTCGACCACATGAGTATGTCTTAGAGGAGATAAACAGACTACAAGAAAGTGACGGTTTGGGGTACCTAGTTCTTCTCCTGATCCTAATGCAAAACGGGTGCATAAAACACACACTTCTTAAGAAGAGGACGCCAGAGTTCAGCAACATAGTTGAAACTTTAAAAGATGTGTGTGCAGACATACCTGAGAATCCAAGTCTTGTTGGAATCCGAGAAAAGGCTGATTCACTCTGTGGTGTATACTTAGAGCGCACTCAAGATGGATATGAGTTTCAGCATCAGTCGATATCAGAGTGTGTGTTCGTCACATTGTCAAAGATCGATACCAACCTCTGCATCAAGACATGCCCTGTACAGTTGCTTTTGGAACTTGTTCAAATGAAAGGAAATTATCCTGATGTGACTGAGATGGTCATATTGCTGACTGAAGATTACTATCCCACATTTGCTGATCGAATTACAACATTATTGTTGGACCCAACTCTTTCAAAAGAAATCTTGAACCATGCTGCTTTTCATGATGACGACTTCATTCAGTATTTGATATCCAAATGGAGATCCGAAGATAAAATACAAGTTATCTGGCGGCTTTTATTTGAACCTGGAACACGTTTGTGTTTCATCAGTCAAGGTAACAATGTGCCACTGTTTGGATTTCAGAAGATAGTCCCATGTCTGATTTTTAAGAACATCAAAAGACTTGTGGATATTTTGATTGCTATGAATAGAGACACAGGTACAGACGTCCTTCAGGAGTGTTTGCCTGTTGCTGTTTATGTCGGTAGAAATGAGCTCGTCAAGAACCTACTTGATTATGGAGCGACACCAGATGAACATTGCTTCAGAGCTCTTTGTCCGGCAAGACAAATAGACGTCGATGTCACCGAGACTATTTTCAACGTTGTTGTGACAGAGCACAGAAGCTTCACATGGGATTCCATATCCAATCTAAGAGATCTGTTCTGGCTATCTGTAATGAATGGAAACGTACACATTGTACACCTACTGGTCAAAAGGTTAAAGGGTTACACAGACAGCTTGAGGATCTTCAGTTATGCCTTAGCAAGTCTTGTCAGGGAGCTTAGTACAGGCCATAGGTGTCCACTGTTTAAACCCTATGACATGAGGCATCTAAGTGAAATAGTCAGAATTCTCTTTGGCACAGGATGCAAGGTAGATTTTGACTATCTCACTTTGCAAGCAGCAACTCATGCTGATGCGACTATTTTGCGACTTGTTCTTGAGCAAGGTGTGCATGTGAAGGATATATATTCAAATAGTGAAGACATGTTCAGCACCGAGGAATATTATCCAACGCCTCTACAACAGGCAGCAGCTTATGGAGGAGGGGATTGTCTGGAAGAAATCCTCAGTTGCACACAAGCTGGACAGGTGAAGCCGGATATTAAACCGGAACAAAGAGTAATTAACAACGATGCGTTCTTATTGCACACTGCAGTTCAACATGGTAACATTGAGTGTGCGTCACTGCTTCTAAAGAAAGGCATTGAAGTCAATACACAGGATAGAAATGGAAATACACCGCTTCATATTGCTGTCAAACACAACCAGGTGAAAAGTGTTGACCTGCTACTTTCAAAGCATGCACCGGTTGACATGAAAAACAGCAATGGGTGTATACCGTTATTGTGTATGAAACTTACATCCCTTCCAGATCTGAACATTGTTACTAGACTCATAAAAGCAGGAAGCGACATTAATGAGGTTGATGCACAAAACAGGACACTTCTTTATAAAGCAACAGAGTATGGACATCTTTCTCTTGTAAAGTATCTGTGTAACAAGGGAGCCAACGTGAACATTGATACACAGGAGAACATTTCCCATATGGCCATCACAGAGGAACGAAAGTTGTGTAAGAGAGTTATTCTTGCTGCATGTAGAAATGCTGATATTGATGTTGTTAAGTTGCTCTGTGAACATGGTGCTGATGTTGACGTAGCTGACGACAATGGAGAAACAGTAATACACAAGTCTGCAGCATCCCCCATTGATACTGTTGAGAAACTTCAATATCTTCTGGACACTAAGCAGGTGCCTCTGAGTATAAAAGACCATTTTGAAAGGACTGTCTTATTTCCAGCTGTCACGTCAGCTTTACAAACTGGGTATTTGGAGGTTCTGCACTTTCTGTCGTCCAGAAAAATAGACTTCAAACAAATAGATAAATTTGGGGACAGTTTACTGTTATATCCCTTTGGCCCAAACCGATTTGACAATGCAATATCTCCCTCAGATGGCTTTATTAAGCTAATGCTAGACCATGGTATTGATCCAAACATAAAGAACCTGCAGGGCAGTACAGTGCTTCACTACGCTGCAATCAAGGGGGACAAGAACAAACTGACAATACTTCTAGAAGGAGGCGCTGATCCACGTGTTCCAGATGAAAAAGGTCGGACTGTGCTCCACCAAGCTGTAAAGAAACAACAGTTTCACAATGTGAGGCTGTTCTTAGAAAAAGGTGCCAATCCAGATGTTCAGGACAAAAACGGTAAAACAGCCCTCCACTTTGCAGGAAAACTTAAAGATTCTGAGACTGTTAAGCTTCTACTTGAAAAAGGAGCAGATCCTACTGTTGCAGATAAATATGGCAGAGATGCCCTTCATTATGCTGTGAAAAGTCAGGACTGTGTCATTATGAACTTACTCCTGCAAAATAGAGCCAGTCCTTGTGTACAGGATACGTTTGGTGCCACTGTACTTCACATTGCTGCAAAATGTCTTGACAGAGAGAATGTCATGCTTCTGTTGGAACATGGAGCAAATCCACACACTCGGGATCGACGCTGCCAGACTACACTTCACTTTGCTGCCCGTAATGCAAATAATGAAGTTCTCAGATTGTTCCTGGAGAGAGGTGTTGATTCCTCTGTACAGGATGACAGAGGCATGACAGCTCTTCATTGGGCAGTATTGTATTGCAACACTGAGAATGTTGAGCTACTTCTGGAAAGATGTCAAGAATGGGACGTACAAGACGAAGATGGAAAGACCCCTCTTCACCATGCAGCAGAAACAGAATACTCAAATATTGTTAAGCTTCTCTTAGATAAGAACTTCGACCCGTGTGTACAAAACCACAATGGTGAAACAGCCCTTCACTATGCAGCAAGGTATGGATACAATGAGAATGTTCGGTTACTTGTGAACAAAGGTGCTGATGTGTCTCTCAGGGACAAAGAAGGCATGACGGTCCTTCACTACGTAGAAGCTATCAATAAAGACAGCGTGAAGCAACTGCTCGTGCATGGTGCTGATTTCAATGCAAAGAATCATTCAGGGAGAACTCCTCTTCACCTTGCAACAATGGGAAAGTGCGATAATAGTGTGAAACTGTTTTTGGACAATGGTGCTGATCCTTGTGCAAAGGATGATGGGGGCCAAACGCCACTTCACTTGGCAGCAATTCACAAACTAGAGAGTATTGATTTATTGTTGGAGAAGGGTGCAGATCCGGGTATGCAGGACAAAGAAGGCAAAACGGCTCTTCACTATGCAGCAGAGCATGATAATTGGGAGTGTGCTAATCTGCTGTTGGAAAGCGGAGGTGATCCCTGTATACAGGACCAACAAGGCAAAACAGCCCTGCATGCTGCAGTTGAAGCCGAGTATCTCTTTAACGTCTTCAGGTACATTGCCGGATCTTATAAGTATGTATCCGAAAGAACCAAGAAGAAGACGAAGAGTGTTGCTAAGCTCCTCGTTGAGAAAGGATGCAGTCATTCTGTGACGGACAATCAAGGTAAAACTGCACTTCATTATGCAGCTGAGAGCAATAGCGGTGATAGCCTGCAACTTCTCTTGGACGACAATGCTACCCCATTCATTAAAGACAAGCAAGACAAAACACCCCTCCACTATGCAGCAGCAAAAGGAACAAGTGACAATGTTAAACGGCTCTTGGAGAAAGGTGCAGACCCATATGTCAAAGATCAACAAGGGAAAACTCCACTTCACTATGCAGCAGAAACAAAACACGGAGACAATATTCAGGTATTACTAGACAGTGGCGTGGATGCAAGTCAGCAGGACAATGAAGGAAGAACTCCGCTGCACTTTGCAGCAACGGGTGACTCCAGCTTGTATGTACGTCTGCTTCTGAACAAAGGCTTTGTGACAACCCTGCGCGACCAACTTGGGAAAACTGCTCTTCACTATGCAGCTGAGGGTTGTTGCAGTGATAATGTCAGACTTCTACTACATAATGGTGCTGATCCCTTTGTAACGGACCAGCAAGGGATGACAGCCCTTGACTATGCAACTCGTGGTGGGAACACAACTAGCGTTACACTTTTGCAGGGACGTGTTGCTCAGAAGCAGTCACTGTGATTGTGTACAGAAGATAGTGTTGTTCTTGGTCATTGATTTATCAACACGATAGGTATGATGAACTTTGAGGATTTAAGGAGAAAGAGAATAGTTATGGGGCTGATTAACATTGCCTCTAGTTTGTTTTAACAGTTATTGTCGATTTCAGATAGTCATGAAGCTGGCTCTCCCTGTGTAATGTTTCTACACTGTATATAATCACGACATGAGATTATGTGTTATGGGCTTATGGAATTGGTACCATGTGAAGCTAACTAGTACAATTGATCAAATATTGATTTGCCATATATTTGGTTCACTATGCATTGTGGCTCAAGTATACATGACTAGTTACTAACAGTTTGTCATGAACTCTTGTGGTTGGTTCACTTTGAGGAGTGTGTGTGTATATTTCAGGGACCACTGGCTCTTTATAAAGATACATCATAGATTACAGATATACATCTACTATGGTTGTTATGAACTGTTCTGATTTGTTTACAGTCTATAGTGGCCCAAGTATATATGACTAAATATTGTCAGGTTGTTATGAACTGTTCTGATTTGTTTACTATATATAGTGGCCCAAGTATATATGACTAAATATTGTCAGGTTGTTATGAACTGTTCTGATTTGTTTACTATGTATAGCGCCCCAAGTATATATGACTAAATTATTGTTAATTTGTTGTCATGAACTGTTCTGATTTGTTTACTATATATAGTGGCCCCAAGTATATATGACTAAATATTGTCAAGTTGTTTTGAACTGTTCTGATTTGTTTACTGTCTATAGTGGCCCAAGTATATATGACTTATTATTGTCAGGTTGTGTGTGAAGGTAGTAGCTTAGCTTGACCAACCAATTGCTGGACGGTCCCTGTGATGGTCCACACTACCTCACAGACTCACGTTATCCCATTGCAACTCATTGGCAGAAGGGTGAGCATCGAGTGATGGTAACTTGTTTGAGATAACCATATATGTAGATCCTCAGAAATACAACAATATATGTAGACAACAACAATATATGTAGACAACAATATATGTAGACAACAATATATGTAGATCGTCAATGCAAAATAATACTTAGTTTTGACTATCCCTCAGAAATACATTTCGTTTGGTGTAAAGGGAAATGATATTTGTGAAAATTATGTGATGACACCGGGTGTTCCAAAAAATGGTAAGCAAGTTCTAACCTACCGGTAGCACCAACCATTCACAAGAAAGGCTTAAAATTGCAAACTCCTGCATAGGCGGATCCAGAGGATTCACTTTTCTTCAACGTTTGTTCAATGACCATTGAAACTCGGGCGAAAATGAAGTGCTGCATCCGCCTCTGCCCTGCTATGCGTCGGTGAAACAAACCAGACAGTGAAGTGGCGGATAAACCGGATAGAATCTTACATAACTTTGAATTCCGACTGCCAGGTAGAGGTACAGAGATTCCGTTTAAAAACAAGTGGGAAATAGACAAATGTGAATCACTGGACTTAATGGGGAAAATGTAGGGTTTTGCGGAAGGGATATTGAGAGATAGGATGGGTGTTGGGCGCATTTTATTCCGGTACCAGTAGTATATAACATATACAGTCGTCACATATTTAGTGTGATGCTTGTGTATAAAACTCTTTTCACCACATAATATATTCAGACCTTTGATAATCTCGAAGAACATTGTAGGTTGTTTTGCACAATGTTGTGTATCCCTTTGCTTGATGACGGTGTTACCATCTACACTGATACGTCACATCTATTGCAATAAAGATGTTTTATCCATAAAAATTGTTTCTCTTGAACATTATTGCGTTGTTGTGTGAGGCTTCACAGTGAAGCCTCTGTGAGATTAACGAGATTGAGATTAACGAGATTGAGATTAACGAGATTAGGACTCAGGACTGCACGTTAGTTAGTTCAGCTGGAACTTCCTCTTCTCTAAATCAACCACACTGAGGATCAATGAAAATGTCTGCTAGCAAGTAAACAAAGGGGGATAACTCTTCACAAACTAATGAAAAAGGATTAACGGAGTTGTCTCTCTTGAATAAAACCAAGCACTTGATAACTGGTCACGGTTGCTTATACTAGAAATCCAATTAAACATATTCCTAAAATTCTCACTAATTTCTGGTCATACTATAATTTCAGCTGGTAGACTTCACTCTGCGGGACAACAGACAAGCTACAACGTCTTTGTGTTTTATAAACTTTGGGTACTTGAACTGTTCTGTGTAAAGATCGGGGTTTAGCTTCATGTAGATCTTCTTCACTTCCTCTAACGTCCCAGGCCTCACTTGAACGACAACAGCAGGGGCATAGCTTCCACTGGAACGGAAACGTTTGTACCTATCCTGGGTTTCTTGAAGACTCTCGTCGATCTGGAAACAAGAACAATGTCACTGGCTAGGAAATAAAGGTCTTAAAGCTACAGTAACTGACGTTAGAGTTGACAAATAGATCAACAGCGACATATGCGTCAGTGTGGTAGATAATTTAAACCTACAGCGACATAAGTGTCAGTGTGGTAGAAAATTTAAACCTACAGCGACATACGTGTCAGTGTGGTAAAAAATGTAGATCAGCAGTGAAAATAATTGTCGTTTTAGACGAATAAACACACAGTGTGACAGGTGTATAGACGCTTGATGCAAATGTACAGATAGGGGTCGCAGGTGTAAAGACACAACTTGCATATTACAGGCACATGTTTCAGGTGTACAGACACAGCTTCCAGGTATGTACATACAGCTTCCAGATGTGTCAGCGCAAGTTGCAAGCATATAGACATGGGTATCTAGACGCAGGTAGCATGTGTATAGACACGGGTTGTAGGTGTCTAGACACAAGTTGCAGGTGTATAAACATGGGATGTATGCGTATGTACGCAGGTTCCAGGCGTAAAGACAGGAGATAGGTGTCTAGGCAAACACCTTGGCTCACTCCTAAACACCTTACCTCACCACAGAGCAGCTAGCTGGTAAGAACTCACAACATTGCTCGTTCAGTGAGTGAGTGAGTGAGTGAGTTGAGTTTTACGCCGCACTCAGCAATATTCCAGCTATATGGTGGCGGTCTGTAAATAATCGGATCTGGACCAGACAATTCAGACATCAGCAGCATGAACATCGATCTACGCAGTTGGGAACCGATGACATGTATCAACCCAGTTAGCGAGTCTGACCATCCGATCCCGTTAGTCGCCTCTTACGACAACATTGGTGGTTGAGCACATGTGACCTTCAAATACAATATTCATGCATAACCACGAGAACATTACGAAACATCGTGTAGATACGTGCATCCCACAAAATGCAACCTTTACGACGTTTTCCGAACGCTTGGTCATCAGTTGTTCACACACTAAAATAGTCGTATGTACAGGAGATATTATTCATCTTTTAGATCTTCTGATGGCCATGTTTTGGCATTGCTCAGAGTTTGCGTATAAATGATTAGTTGAAGACATGTATTATCTTGGATATGTTAAAAACTATATCCTGTATATCCTTAAAATCCTGTAATTGTTTAGAAACAAAGTTAATGTACTCTCTGTAACTTTGTTCACATACCACACTCTTTTCTCGATCAGTCAAAGCTCCATCACCGAGCAGTTCTATGAAGACATACACGTGCGCTGTCGTCGATATTTCACCTGCAAGTGGTATGGATATCAATTACCTGCGACATTGAATCCGTTATGAACACTCTTGCGTCAGTTGCACTCCCTGTCTTAGAAAGAGTCCCTCTTCCTGCCTTCCTCCTCCTGTCTAAACACTCCTGTCACTCCCAAACACTTTGTCTCACTACTAAACACGCTTCACTCCCAAACACACTGTCTCACTACTAAACACGTTTCACTGGCAAACACCTTGCCTGACCACCTAACACGCTTCACTCCCAAACATACTGTCTCACTACTAAACACGTTTCACTGGCAAACACATTGTCTCACTACTAAACACACTTCACTCCCAAGCACATTGTCTCACTACTAAACACACTTCACTCCCAAGCACATTGTCTCACTACTAAACACACTTCACTCCCAAGCACATTGTCTCACTACTAAACACGTTTCACTGGCAAACACATTGTCTCACTACTAAACACACTTCACTCCCAAGCACATTGTCTCACTACTAAACACACTTCACTCCCAAGCACATTGTCTCACTACTAAACACGCTTCACTAGCAAACGCAGTGTCTCACTACTAAACACCTTGCCTGACCACCTAACACACTTCACTCCCAAACACATTGCCTAACCACTAAACACACTTCACTACCAAACACAGCTTTGAATTTCTATCAAAGAAATGCCTTAATGTTAAAATTTGCCATTTCCAAAAGGGTCCTTAACTCCAGCGAGGTTTAGTAACAATTCATTACCACAATTTGCTTCCCGTTTTACCCTGTGTTTCCACTTACCTGTCAGTTCCTCAACGATGAAGTTGCCGACAGCCATGTAGTTAAACATCGTTCCTGACGTCCACGTTCTGGAAGCTTTCAAAACAGCTTCAGTGAACAGGAACTCTGGGTATTTGTCGTACCCGTCTCCTGTCCTGTAGGATGCAACAGTGAGGTCATTACGGGTTAAACCAAACACCTCGCACACACACACACACGGGCGCGCGCACACACACACACACATGCAGAGAGAGAGACGCACACAGAGACACACACACACACACACACACACATCGACAAAAGATTGTCAGAGCTTTGAATTTCTATCAATTCGTACTGATAGATTTGCTGTCAAATAAAATACAATCTGGAACATCATCGGCCGCAAACAAAGTAATTCGTGATTCATTAATCTGCAATATCTGCACAATTCCACTGAGAAAGCACCTGTTCTGACTGACGAGGTTTCGCTGTTCACAGCAGCATCTGTTCAATGACAAGCATGTGAAGACATAACCACAACATCCACAACATCATCGCCCGTTGTACTCACCGTTGCAGTAGGACGTAGCTTGGGGTCTGGCCTGTGAAGCTGGTAACACGGATGATATCTCCTGTACGATACCTGTACAGACCTGACCAGTTGGTGATGACCATCTCATAACGCTGCCCAATGTCCACCTGGAGGAAACAGTTGCGAAGGACTAGTCAGTCTCATAACCATACTAGCCGCTCTAGGATACTTCTTACAGTACCTCATATGCAGAAGAACAGAACAGAAACACTGAGCCATGTGTCGCAGGAACTCCTCTGCCGTATCGTAAATCCACAAAACTTGCAGATTCGAAACCAGTGACATAATATAATATATGTGTGCCAAGTCTTTCAAAAGAAACAAAAACAAAATGTATCTACCTCATGAGCCAGCAACGTCTGTGGATTATCTTGATCAACGTCTACTTCAGGGATGAATTCGTAAAGCACCTGATCAGGGAGGATGGTGTACTCCGTCTTCATCTGGTCTATAATGTTCATGTTGATGCCATACACCCCCTCGGATGCCACGTGTGTGCTGGAGGTTATTGGGATGTCCACTATGTACTTCCGTCTCAGAATATTCACCTGAAAGTCAAGATGCTATCAATGTAAAAGACTGAATGATGTTTAAATGCCTGTTCTACTGAGAGAGTAACCTCTTCAGTATATGAGGCCAGGTAATATGCATCGTGTCTTGGTGTAATACTGGTGCTCTATTCCATGTGTCATTAATCATATAGAGGTTATGAAATGTATTCCTGTTTGATACCGTCTTTATTGTCATAAAAGCTGATTCAGGACAGTCATTGTTCAAATATTTCCAAAGACCAAAACGTATGTAGCTAAGACATGTGAGACTTGATTAGAATTATTTATAGGACACTAATCTTTATTCTTAATTCTTATTCACCCCAGCATTGTACATTGACTTGCCAGCGAACCCTTACCACTCTGTCATTTTCATTAATTACTGTGCATGACATTTATATCCTTAATTAGTAATCTCCTTATGTCTGCCATCACATCAATTAGTCCAAGGCAATGCTATTGTTTCTCTACATGTCCATTGTTAGCTCTTCGTCTGTCCATTGTTGTCTATTACTGTATATATGTTTATATCTGCACTGTCACCAGTCCAGTCCTCCTCAGAGGGTACGTAAGTCCCAAAACGTTCAAAGTAAAATGTAAATTTACCATATTTTAAACGTAGTATCTTTGTTCTTTTAACTGCCGGCTACATTTTCCTACAATCGCCAGCGGCTGAAGGGATGGTGTAAATCCAGCTAGGGTCCATGCAGGTAGCAAAAGTAATGTAAGTCCTCATGGTTCCTAGTATGGGGATCTAGCTTCAGTTGTTGGCGATCTATAGCCTGTGTTTTATACTGTATTGTCCTCTTTGATTGAAATGTTTTAGCTTTGCTCGCTAGTTTTATTCATATCTGTGATTCTCTAGTATTTTAGGTTTTAATCTTCAAAACGTTTTCTCTTTATATTGTATAAATTGTTTTCGTCACGATATGGCTGAGATATTGCCGATGTGACGTTAAATATTAACTCACTCACTCACTGTCACCAGTCCGGTATTCCGACTGTCTGTGTAGGGACGACCGCGAGCAGGATAATGCCGCCCGTAGGAAACGCCCTAAGGTTGAGCTGGAACTCCGCAGACCTCATTAATGTCTGAGCCGGCAACCTAGCTCATAGATGTCTTGTAAATGTGTTTGTCATGTTCTGTATAACCAGCTAAAGAAGTTGGATCTCAACGTATTCATTGGTCTTCGTCCACGTATTATTCGTCTTAATTCTGAATTTGTTCCCTGTCGACAACATGTATGCGTTGACGTTATCGTTCTCTAGTTATATACGTTTTGAAATACAATCTGGACGAGTTATTAGATGTATAGAGATTGCGAATTCTAGACATGTGCTTCCGTTAGATAGTGTTTCTATTTCTTACAAATTTCCTCGAAATACAATCTGAACGAGTGTAGTCATAAATATTTTAACTCGGTTAAACGTGGCACATTATTGAAATTAAAGGGTGGTATGCAAATACGTAGCATGAATACAACCTCCGTAGCTGATTCCAGAGACTGTTTTCTCAACAGCCTGGCAATAGATATTGTGTTCACACGTGACACTTTTGGTAAATTTATATAGTTACAACATTTAAAGCTTGTGAGTTTCTCACCGCTGGAATGTAGGCTCCCGATGCCGCTGTGTGTAACACTGATAAACATGGCCAGATTCGTGGTCCAATATTGTGGCAGCCTTCCTTGAAGATACATCTCAGTTCACCAGCTCTCTCTGCATCAGCAGTCAGATGCTTCTGAAGCTTGAGTCTCACATCGTCCTGCAGACCAGGACACTTGCAGATATTTCCACGTTCTATATCATCACACATGGCTTCCCACCGTGTCTCGATGACCCTGAAGAAGTTCAAGGCTGTAGGTGCTGTGAGGCAGCTTAGCAAGGTGACGTCTTTACACGTCAGACCGAACAATGCATGGACATACAAGGATGCCTGTTCCTGTCTTATTTCATATGCAGCATCAGGCGATGGTCTAAAGGGACAGACGAAGGCCCCAGCTCCACTCGCAGGACCTTGTCTGACCCCAGCCGGAGATAGCGTGAGAGTTGGCGCTGTCCTCACATCTAGCCAGAATTTGAGCTTGCCTATGTTGGGTATTTTAAACAACTGTCTCTTTTTGTGGACGCTATGAATGATCATCCTCTGAAAATCGAACGCCATTTGTCTGGGGTAGAGCTTACTTTTCCCTGAAGAAGTCCCGGAAGTTAAAGTGAAATAGTCTGGTTGTCCTGGAAACATGACATCAGACTCTCCTTGTATGATACGCTGGATGTACTTGTCATAGTTCTCATGTGAGGTGAGACGCTGTTGAGACCGAAATTCTTCGAGACATGTAACAGAATCAAAGGCGTTATCGAGTCCATATGCGGTTCCTGAACCCCACTTGAGAATGTTTCGAAGAACGGTTCTTTGTTGATTTATTACATCTCTAAGGGCAGGAAGGTAGCTGGGTGTCAAGTATGATCTGATATAAAATTTCTTTATCCATATATATTGCTTCAAAAGCGATGTCCATGTATGATGACGACTTGGGTCCAATCTTATGACGTCCATGAAGACAACACTTAATAGAAGAAGTAAAACTCCAAGTCCGGGACCTGTAACAAATTACCGCTCAAGTGAATATACTCAAAGTGTTGTAAGCATACACTTTTGCTGCCCATATCATACTTATCAATATGACAATGCTACCTATACAACTGTGCTATTTGGATAATAGTGTTAATGCTTGGGGTTGACATAAACAGATGCACAACTTCCCTGATTATCTCTTTGCGAAAAAGCAATCAATCGGGGGGAAAACGCCAGTGAATACAAGCTGCCTGAAGATATACACAGTTATCTTGCCTCACACATAAATGTCGTTTTCTGATTGGCTGAGCGTTCTTCTATTATTTTCAATGTACCCCGCTTGCAAGCGAGTAACATTTTCTATGTACCCCGCTGGGAATACCGAATCCATTGGATACTTCGTAGTAGTAATTCTTTATCTCGAATAACATTGAATCACATATGATCAGATACCATATAATAGATCTCTGGTATGATGTACGGAAATTACCGATGTTTTGCGAATGCAAATTGATGGAAGGGAGATAACTCTAATTTTTAAATATTTTTTTGTCTTGTCGTCTGCTACTCCATACTATGATCCGATACCCGTGCTTCAAACAGTTCAAAATTATCATTGAGTTGTTCGGTTGTTCAGGGAACATACACAAACATCGAGGGTACATCAGCCCATGTCCCCCTCGAGACCAGTGAACAACTTATATAGTAGTAATCAGTCATTCAGTTCCTGTCAGCCAAGGTGGCAATGTTTACTGTTGTATTATTTGGCAATGCTTGTAGACATGTATATCTGGGTGTTGTAGTTGATGGTCTCCGTATTTAGAGTGGGAGACAATACTGGTGTTAAAATTTCTGGTTCCAGTGTAGTCTGACCAAGAGAGTTAGGAAAAGCTCAGGAAGCTTTTGTTTATATACACAAAGAACTTAGTTAAGCATATGACATATCTCACGATTGAATGAGCCCCAAGCTTAACCCTGTGGACCATATCTGGAACGTGATTGTGCAACAAAGGGATCCTCCTGTATAGAACCTGGCCCAATTGGAAGTTGCTTTACATGAGGCTGACAGGCGTATAAGGAGGAGAGTGCTGCTGTCATATAGTCACATGGAGGTTACAGTCGGTATTGACCTTGAATCGTGTACATTCACCAATAAACTCAACATTAAATATCCAAGGGCCATACTTGTACAGACATGATTTTGTATGAAAATCAGTTGGTTTTTTCAAGTGAGCAATTATCATTATAAAGTCAAAGGATCATACGGGTCAGAAAAACTCCATCTTGGTTACCACCAGAAGTTTTATGTACGTGTTGAAAACCTATCGTTGCAAATATAGAGGGGGTGCTTAATTAAGTTCTTTGTGTATATATAAAGTATTGTGTTCTTGTCTCACGTATCTCACATTACAAGAAGATCAGCAGTTGTGTGATCACTTTTCATCCTGGATACTCAGCCCAGGCCGATATTGGAAGCTTGTCCGCTTTGGCAGCGAGGTGCTTGTTACTTAATGTCTTATGCTATAATCACTTCTTTATGTAAAATTGCCTTTAATTTGAACTTGTATCCCCTATTTTGCACTGACATTGTAATTCTTTTGCAATGATTTGTATAACGACAATGTTAATTTTGGAATATTTTTGTTAATTATATCATGTTTCTTTGTTATTTCTTTAATTTTTTACGGACTGATTTCCTTTTGACTTATGGTGTCAAATAACAGTTCATAAAGCATTTTCGGTACCTATTTTAGAACAGAACTATGTTGTTGCATGTGCTGACATATGAATAATGACTTCAAAGTCATATTCCACAGTCTCATGATGAAGATAGTTTTCCAAATTCCTTGGCTTCCTCTGTTATAATCTCGTCACGCAAAGCAGGGAACCAAACAAATCCAAACAACTTTTGGGGAATATTTTGGGAAAGGTTTTCAACGTAATCCTTTATAATACAATTTCACTTTGGGCAAGTATACTGGCCACATAAAGAAACTGTGCACACAGAAAATATAAATATAGGCACACAGCGTATTTATACATAAATACATTTGTGAACATAGCAAGTATTGGAGACAATCAAACGCTTATGCACGTGCCAGGCGACGTGACGTCATTGACGGTGGCCTAAGGCCTTGCAATGTGTTACTGCACGTGCAGCCCGTACCGTACAGATGCACACAACATGTGAAACTCTGAAATTGCTGTCACTGTCGAAAGCTTGATCTTTGGTCATTCAAACGTTCACAAATTCACATGAGAAGTCACATCCACATCATGCCAAGATTAGCATCTGCTCAACGTCATGAAGTCATTGGAATGGTTCGAGCAGGCATGAACCAACAACAGGTGGCAGCACATTTCCAATGCCATCGTAACACGATATCTGCATGGGTCAGGCGTTATCGAAACAGTAATGACGTCGCCGACCACCCACGTTCTGGGCGTTCCCGACGTAACGACGCCAAGACAGGACAGATGGATTCGGGTGACTCATCTCAGATACAGGTTCCAGACAGCAGTGACCACGTTCCAGATCATTCCCAAGTCATCCAATGCTCATTTGTTAGCCTCTATGCGTCTTCGATGCACTGCTGTGCTCCCGGTGGTCATACCCGTTATTGACTTTGTGACTTCGTCGTGTGACCCCGTACTCGGTTTGAACTTCTGACGTCATCGTTACGGATATTGTTCATGTTCTTTTGACATTTTCTTGTGGTCAGATACTTCAACTTATAACGTGTCTACATCATTTCGTCTTTGCTGTGTTGTATTCTAATTATGAAGGCATTTTCTGTGTGCACAGTTTCTTTATGCAACAAATTACCCAGTCTGGTTTCCGAAAGAATTTGTCAACTATTGACCACATCTTTACATTATACGTTGGTTAAAAAACGGCTATCATTGCAAAACAACCCATAAATTATATGTAACATTTGTAGATTTAAAAAAACGCATGGATTCTGTTGATCTTTTTTAATTGTGGCAATGTATCACAAAAGTTGGCCTGAGGGGTAAAATGCAGTCCATCTTGAAGTCTTTGTAGGCAAATGCTAAATCATGTATTCGTTGTGGATATGATGTAACACAATATCTTGATTGTCCGAATGGGCTGCGTCAGGGATATATGCTTAGTCCTATACTGTTTTCCGTTTTCATCAAAGAATTGTATTTTGAAATTCTTAATTGTAGCAAACATGGTATTTCTACAAACGTTTGGAAAGTTAAGTGACTTAGTTGTCAGATACAAACTGGGTTTGTCAGAATTAATGATCAATGAATCTAGAAAAATAGGAGATGATTAAAATAAAATGATTTGTATGTTATATGAAAGTGGTATAGCGGATTCAAACCACTTTGTCTTTACATGTCGCACTCTTAATAACCTGATAATTTTGTATATACCCAAAAATACTTAAGTACACCTCCAGAAATTCCATTAACTTATTTTATGACCTCAAATGATATTTTACACCTGCCACTCTACTTAAAACATGCAACAATCATAAGAAAAACGTAAAGCAAAATATTGTATATCCAAACTGAGGCAATACTTAGATTAAAATTTGTTTACTTTGTATGTGGACGGAAGCCTAAAACACAATAAACCTCTTCTTCTGAAAACATTTCATTCACGGCAGTAAAAGTTTTACACTGATTCTGTTTGTTGAGTTTTTGCGTGTGTCACAATAACCTTTCCCAGTGGGCATATTTTGTTAATTTAAAACCAGTATATCCAGTAATTTCTGAAAAGGGACTCTTTTCACTATCCTTCAAAGTTAACTTGCTACTGGGCACAATGACGGGCTCGAAGGTCAGCTATTAAAATTCATAAGAATATGATAATTAAAAACATTTACCTGCACCACTGTGGACTCTGGACACAGGTTGGACCGTGCCCAGCATCAAACTCAGTCCACCCAGGGACAAAGCTACAGTACCAGCACACAAAACACTTGGCGAAAACGATGGGAACATTTTCAAATCCTGTTGTGGGGAGCCAGTCACTTCTATGTGTCTTGAGAGACAACTAAGATGCAGTCCGTTGATTTACGAGTGACATGTACAAAATGTAATTGTTTTATGATACGTTACGTGGAGTATAATATATACATCCGTGCATAAAATAAGCACCACTCTGTATTTTTACCAATTAATTTTGTCTGAAAGGAAATTCTTAACTCTTTCCGAAAAATAACCTTTATAATTTGATAGAGCAAGCATTTAACATTTCAAAAACGAAAACATCATTGGAGTTACCATGTACTTTAATTAGGATAATTGCCTGTATTTAAAACAGGTTTTTTTCTGTCCTAAAACAAAATACCTTATTTTGAAAAGTGAAAGTGATAATTGATTGTAATGTGGCCTATAAATTCGTTATTTATTGTGAATGAATGAAAGTTTGTAAACTAAAATTTAGGAAAAGTTACAGTCAAACTAAAAAAAGGAAAATTTTAAAATGCAGTAAAAGTTGCTTTACAAACAAAACAGATAGATTTTAATTAGTAATTATCAGCATCTGGCAAGGAGAAGTGTTTATTCATTACAATAAACTCAAAATCATAACAGATTTATTCCAAAATCTT